GTGTGTTTTGAAGTTAGTTCTGAAGTGAATTTCTTGTAACCAATTTATAGATGGGACTTGGTTTTTAAATCCAGTCAGCCACCCTATATCTTTAATTGGAGAATTTTGTCCATAGACATTTAAAGTACTAATTCATAGGTCTATACTTCTGTAATTTTATTACATGTTTTCTGGTTGTTTTTGTAGTTCTTTCTTGTTTTTATTCTTTTTGTTTTAGTTTTCTGCCTTGTAGTTTGATTTTTTTTTTAGTGGTGTACTTGTGTTCCTTTCTCTCTTTTTTGTGTGTATCTTTATAAGTTTTTGATTTGTGGTTACCAGGGGGTTCATATATGTTGACTTATAACTCTATTTGTTTTAAACAGGTAGTCTTTTAAGTTGAAAAACTTTCTGAAAAAAATCTACATTTTTTACTCTCTTTTCCCACACTTTGTATTTTTGATGTTGTATTTTACATCTTCATGTTTTTCCCTTTATTGATTATTGTATACTTGATTTTACAATTTGTTGTCTTTTAAATTTTGTATTTAAGTTATTGATCCTCAGCTTTTACTATTGCTTGCCTTTACTAAGATATTTTTTCCTTTCCTATAGATACTTACCTCTTGTTATAGCCTTTTCTTTTCAACTTAGAGAAGACCGTTTGCCATTTTCTTTAAGGTTGGTTTTATATTCATGAACTCTTAGTTTTTTGCTTGTTTGAGAAGGCTTTTTTTTAAATTTCTCCTTAATTCTAAATGATATTCTTCCTGAGTTGTGTATCCCAGGTTGCAGGTTTTCCCCTTTCATCACTTTAAGTACACAATGACACTCCCTTCTGGACTGTAAAATTTCTGCAGAAAAATCAGCTGATGGTCTTATGGAGGTTCCCTTTTATATGAATCTTTGTTTTTCTCTTGTAGCCTTTAGAATTTCTATTTATCTTTAACTTTTGCCATGTTAATTACAGTATATCTTTTTGTGGATCTCTTTTGGTTAATCTTTTTTGGGACTCTGTTCTTCTTGTACCTGGATTTCTGCTTCCTTGTTTAGGGTTGGGAAATTTTCAGCCATAATTCCATTAAATGTATTTTTGGCCCCATTCTCTCTCTCTTTTCTTTCTGGGGCCCTATTATGTGAACATTTATATGCTTTAATGTATCCCAAATATCTTAAACTTTTCTATTTTGAAAAATTCATTTTTCTTTTTGCTTTTAGGATTGGGTGATTTTCATTATTGTACCTTACAGAACACTTACATATTCTTTTATATCACTTAGTCTTTTGTTCATTCCTTCTAGTGTTTTCTTTTTTAATTTCAGCTATTGCATTCTACAGTTCTGATTCTTTTTTATATTGTCTTGTCCTTTGTTAAAATTCTCACTCTGTTCATCCATTATTTTCCCCAATTTAGTTAACATTCTTATTACTAATGCTTTGAATTTTTTATCTGGTAAATTGTTTATTTCTCTTTCATTAGTTGTTTGTTTACTCAGGGCTTTTTTATTTTTTTCTTGCTCTTTCAATTTAGAGGAAAATCCTCTATCTGTCATTTTGATTATCTTTCTCTGTCTCTATGAAATTAAGCAATAATTTATTTATGCCAGTTCTGAAGTGTATTCTTAAGAGGGAGCATCTGTGTGTGTGCTGAGTGGCTTTGTTTGGAGCTGGATATGTTATGAACACTAGTCATGTTTTTCTTCCTAGTGTGCTGGCAACTATCATCTTGGTAGAAGGTGGGGCTGGAGATGGAGGGGTTAGAGTCAGAGCCAGGTGTGAGGCATGCTTTCCCCTCTGTTCCATACCTGTTACCACCCCATCAGAACCATGGTCAGGTCCCAGGTTGATGAAGCAGAGGCCCTGAGGGCTGGGTCTGAGTTTGTTCAGTTCCAGTTCCCTTTAATTGTGTGCTCTTCCCCCTCTCAGTGTCAGCACTCTCAGCCCCAGAGGGGAGCAGTGCTAAAGCAAGAGAGACTGGTGTGTGTATTTGCCATGAGTTGGGCCAATAAGTATGGCAGTATGGCTACTGCCAGAAATCTGGACTGCCTCTGATGTGCTGCCTGTACAGTGGCCAGTAATGACTGCCCCATCCCTACTCATAAGCTGCTTAGGGTTTGAACCATCTCAGCATGTCATGATCAAGCTTTTCCCTTGGCTGTTGCAGCCATCAATCAAGTATGGAGCTGAAACTTGAGGCAAATAGTGCTGGAGTGTCCACTCGACTCATGTTGGTATATGTGCAATGAGACACAGTTTCACTCTGCCCTTTCTGCCCTGCTTCAGGATCAAGCAAGCATTTGCACTCCTTATGAGTTCAATCCAGGTTTTCCATAACCCTAAACCTTCCCACCTGCCCCCTGAACAGCCAAGGGGCCTTGTCTTCGCTTTGTTAAACCCCAGGGCTTGGGCACCCAATATATGGCTTGAACCACTCACTCCCCAGGGGGCATCCCCACTCCTATAATCTCCTTCTTCCTCTATGTACCCTCCCAAGGGCACAGGTCCCAGCCTGATTGCTTCTCTTTCCTTCCTACCCAATTCTGCGTGTATCTCTCTTACAGCCTTGGTTATACAGTAGTTTTGTTTTGTTTTGTTTTGTTTTCTGGTAGTCTCCAGTTAGTTTTTATGTGAGAATTGTTCCACATGTAGATGTATTTTTGATGTGTTTGTGTTGGGATGTGAGCGCCACGTCTTCCTACAATTCCATCTTGATTCAGGTCTCTCCATACCTTTACTGTTAATCTATCTTTTTGTCTTTTACATTTAAAGTGATGTACTGTATATAACATATAGGTAGCTGTTATTTTTTATGTGCCCTGGCAGTCTGCCTTTTAATTAATGTGTTTCAAGTTGTTATTGATATAGTTGGATAAAAATCTACCATGTTTGTTACTGTTTTCTATTCATTGCCTTTGTTATTTGTTCCTTTTTTGTTTTCCAGTCTTTTTTTGCATTCTCTTTTTTTAATTGAAAGTTGTATGTGATTCCATTTTCTGTCCTTTCTTAGCATATCAATTACACTCAAAAAAATTTCTTAGTGGTTATCCTAGCGTTTTAAACATGCATTTGCAGTTAAGCCATGTCTACTTTATATTTTAAAATCAACTGTATTTCTATTTTTCTTTCTTTCTCTTTTAATGGAGCTAGTAAGGATTCAACCCAGGACCTTGTGCCTGCTAAGCATGCAGCTCTACCACTGAGCTATTACCACTCCTCCCCAAGCTATGTCTACTTTAAATAAAATCATTTTGCTTGTAACAGAGTATTTCCAATTTTTCCTTTCAGTCCCTGATAATACTGCTGTCATTCATTTCAATTTTTTATAAGCTTTAGTCACCAAATACATTGTTGCAATTGTTATTTTGGACAAACTCTTATCTGTAAAATCAGCTAAGAAATAAAAAAAAATATAAGATTCTATTTTACCTTCATTTATTCCTTCTTTAGTGCTCTTCTTTTCTTTATTTTGGTAGACATTTTCCTTCTGTCTAGGGAACTTCTTGTAGAATTTCTTGGGTTCCAAGTCAACTGGAAACAGAATCCTTCAGTTTGTTTGTTTGTTGGAGAAATTCTTTAATTTTTCCTTCATGTTTGAAGGATAACTTCACTGGATACATAATTCTAAGTTCTTGATTTTTAAATTTCAAACCCTTAAATATTTCAGCCTACTCTTATTTTACATGTTTTTGTTTTTTAAGAGAAATCTTATCTATACTCCTCTTTGGGTAAAGTGTTTTTTTTCTCTTGCTTCTTTCAAGATTTTCTCTGGGTCTTTGACTTTCTGCATTTTGAATATGAAATGCCTGCATTTATATATGGTATTTATCCTGCTATTATTCTCTGAGCTTCCTCAATCTTTTGTTTGTATTTGTGTTTAATTTTAGAAAATTTTCAATGCTCATTACTTTAAATATTTCTATTTCTCTCCTTCATTTCCTTCTGGCATTCTTAGTATGTGTATCTTACACCTTTTGTTATTGTCTAACATTTCTTGAATATTCGACTCCATTTTTAATTCTCTTTTCTCTTTGCATTTCAGTTTCAGAAGTTTCTATTGGCAAATATTCAATTCACTTATTCTTTCTCTTGTCCAGTCTGTTGATGAACCTATTAAAGGCATTTTTAATTTCTGCTAGTGTTTTTGATTTCTATCATTTCCTTTTAATTACTTCTTCAACTGTCATATGTCTGCTTATATTATCCATATGTTCTTGTGTATTGTCCCCTTTTCCATTAGGGCCCTTAAGTGTAATCCCTGGTCCTATAATTCCACTATTCACAGTTTCTGCCTTATTTGAGTTTGATTCTGAGGATGATGCTTTATCTTCAGATTGCGTTTGTTTGTTTTGTCTTTTTCATGCCTTGTAATATTTCACTGAAACCTGAACATGATACCCTGGGTAAAAGGAACTGAGGGAAATAGACCTTTAATATGAGTTTTTATGCTTGTCTGACAAGGAGTTAGGCTGTGCTATTTTGCTATAGATGTTCTTGTCAGAGGCCAAAATTACCTCCGGTATCTTTGTTTTTTTCTTCCCTACTGTCTTTCAACTTCTTTAGAGATCTAGTGTTAAGTAATGTCTGATACTGGCTGTAGCAACAGGCTTCTGCTTCTGGGCTTCCACTCTGGTAAGCTCTGATTTCCCATATTCAAATATCTATCCAATATTTGAGGCAATGTTTTTTCCCTCTGACTTCAATTCTCTGTTGATTCTAAGAAGAGTTGTTGATTCTCAACTTACTGAGATTTTCTTTGTATGAGGATGAGCACAATAATTTCCAAGCTTCTTAATTGTCAGACTAGAAACTGGAAATCTTGCATCAGTCACTTTTTTAAAAAAAATGTTTTTCTATATGTCACTTTTAATATCATGGCTTCATGTTCCCTATCTGTAAAATAAAAGGATAAGATCCTGACTTGGTAGCTAAATTCTCCTCTAGCTCTAGCATTTTGTTGAATCTATAAGCACTGACTTGCATGGATGACTATGACAATATTTGACATTTCTTACCCTTTTCTACAGGCAGACCTCCAGGTGGACAAGGAGAGGCACAATTTCTTCGAGTCTTCCCTTGATTATGTTTATCAAATCCAGGAAGTCCAGGAGTCTAAGAAGTTCAATATTGTAGAGCCAGTAAGTTTTATCTGTTGATGAATGGTCTAAGAATATTTACCAAATGTCATGTAAATGTGAAGAACTTTGGTGATTTTTTAAAATTTTTTTAGTTGATTCAGGGGGTAATTAGGTTTATTTGTTTGTTTGTTTGTTTGTTTTTAGAAGTGCTGGGGGATTAAACCTAGGACCTTGTGCATGCTAAGCATGCTCTCTACCACTGAGCTATACCCTCCCCACTATGTGAAGAACTTTGATTATAAAATTGTAATCTCAAAAATGTGAAGGACAGTCAGTGTTTCATAATGAATGTCAATAAAGTAGACACACAGGCTTGTACTATTCTTGCTCTCTCACTAATATTCTTTGTCACATTCTTCCTCATTTTCCCCTCCACTCATTCCTCCTCCCTTTTCTCTCATTAGCAACTCTTTTATTTCTTTGTTTTCCTCCTCTCCTTCCTCCTGTCCTTTGATTTCTGTCACTTTTCATTTTACCTTGTTTTTCTCCCTTCCTTTCATGCTTTTGTAGTCTCTGAAAGTACGCATTATATCCCAGGTACTGTTCTAGGAACTCATGTCCCTTGTACTCAAAGATTTCTCATTATACTATTTTTCCTTCTATCTTTTGAAAAATTTTCTACTTTAATCTCATTAATTTATTATAAAAGATGATGTGCTTTGATTTGACAACTATGTTGAATTTTAACAACTTTTTTTATTATGAAAACAATGGACTCTTATTGCAGATAAGCTAGAAAAAATATATGAAAAACAAAAGAAATACAACAAATCCCTCATGCAGAGATGATCACTTAATATTCTGGCATTTTTCTTCCTAAATTCCCTTTGTATCTATTATACTCCTTTATTTATTATGCATGTGCACTTGTGGATGTCATTGTATGTACATATGTGTGTAAACATGTATATATATATTATACATGGGCATGTATATCTGTGTACATGTATATATATCCTCAAATTTGTATATATCTGCATATGTATGTGTACAAACAAGTCTTTCTTCATTTATTGAGCTTTTTTTGTGTGCCAGGCACTGTGCTAAACACTGGGTATCCAATAGTGAAAAAGACTCAGCTGCTGTCTTTAAAGAAGACTACACTTTCATGGGTTAGACAAATGGAAAACAAGGATACATATGAATAAAATAAGTGTAAGTTGTGATAAAGGACTAAATCAAAGAACAAGAATGGACTGCTACTTTAGACTGAGTGGTCAAAGGAGAGCTCTGAAAGTGTTATGTGAAATGAGATGTAAAGAATGAGAAGATGAGGCAATGTGAATAGTGGCGAAAGAACATTCCAGGCCTAGAAAAATACATGTGGAAAGTGTTTAACTTAAGAAAGAATAGTGCACTCAAGGAATGAAAAGATTAGTGCCTTTAGATACTGGTGAGAGAAAAGGAGATTGGCAGGAAATTATATCTGATAGGAAGGCATAGGACCTATAGGCATGGTAAGGGGGTGGGATTTTAGTCTAAGTGTAGTGGAAAAAGTGTTGACGGGTATTAAACAGGATATGACATGAGCTGATTTTGCTCTATGGAGAATGGCTTGGAAAAGGGCACCAGTGGAAGCAAGGAAACCAGTTAGGAAGTTACTGCAGTGGTCTAGGCATGGGAAAATGCTGGTTTGGGTTAGAGTGGTGGCAGTAGAGAGAGAGAAACAGGAAGAATGTGTATATGACTGTGTGTGTGGTACACACTCATATGCAGTTATATATGTGTATATATATACACATGCATGTGTATTACATAAGTGTATACATAGTTGTTACGCATTTATGTATATATGTGTATCTGCATATTTATACACACATATGTATGTGTTTATATGTATATGGTATGTGTGTGCATATTTATATGTGCTCACCTGTTTACTTTCTAAAAAGAATAGGGCAATTTTTACTACTTGCTATTACATTTTACTATTGCCAGCATTGAGCAGTGTTTTTTAGCTGTTTATATTTGATAGATGAAAATTGTATTTTCTTTCATTTTTATTTGTGTATATTTGATTTTTAATGGGGTTTGACAGTTTGAACATTTAGAATATATTTTAAAATACATTTTTGATCATTTGTATGTCTTTTTCTGCAACTATGCCCCAAACCCAAAACATTTCTAATTTGAAAATTGGTTCAGGCTCCTCAGATGTTTTAGCATAATGACAGTCTTCATTATGGAATAGAATCTTACTCCATTTATTATTTATTGTTTTTTAAATCAGTAAATATTTATTGAGTACCTACTCTGTGCCAGTCTTGAGAATATACACAGTATATTCCATACTCTCCCCATTATGAATGGTTTTATATGCTATTTGAAAAGGATATTAATGTATAAATTTGTTAGTAAATTCTTATTTTTTGGAAGTAAGTGCAGTGTAAATGTTTAACCTAACAAGAGAATAGCTATATGTAGACCTGTTTGTGTTTGCATGACTGCTTTTAACACTATATGGGATAAACACTGTATGGAGTTTCTTTTTTGTACTTCTATTTCCTTTATTTGATTAATGAGAAGGTACTGGTGATAAAGTTATTTTTACACATTTTCCCTAGGTCTTGGCCTTTCTTCATAGTCTCTTCATTTCCAACAGCCTGACGGTGGAGCTTACACAGGATTTCCTCCCATATAAACAGCAGCTCCAGCTCAGTTTACAGAATGTGAGTTTGCATGTGGGTTTCTTCACCTGTCTCTGCATCCCAATTGGATTTCAGCCCCAATATTTTGACCTTGGAGTTCTAGATTATTGCATCACAGACAATTTGTCAGGACACACTGGTGTGGATCAATAATGCATTAGTAGACTATGATAATGTTCTTACTCTTCCAGTTTCAACTATTCCCTGTCTTTGGGACTGACTATTGCTCAAACCCGCTGTTCCACCCACTGACACCTCTATCTATCCAATATTTATTAAATATCCCTAATTTGCTACAGCTTTCCCAAATCATAATCCAGCTATGGGCTTGATTAAGCATAGGTCTAATGCTACTTCCCTGCTGGTTATTTAAGACTCTCTCATTGTAGGTCTTATTACCATGAATGCCTATTTCTCCCCCTTCCTTTTCTCACTACTTTTCTCACTACATTACTAGGGTTAAATAAATTATTTTTAAAGGTTTTCTCTACCCTCTCTCCCATGCTGTTACTTATAGGTAGTCATAGGCACAACCTTCCCTTCCTTGTCAATATATTATTTTCCTCGCTTATTTCTTTAACCCACATTTAACAAATGCTTAGGTATATAGTGAACATATACTCTGTGCCAGGCATTGTAAGAGGCACTGGACATGTAATCATGAGGCATTAGGTTTTCTGTCTTCAAGGAAACTTACATTCTCTTGGAGCAGAGAGACATAAACAGAGATAAATCACAATTATTTATGCAAAGTGCTACAAGAGTTAAGACCATAAAATCTAAAGAAGCACAGAGAGTGGAATAACTGACTGTCTGGCTCAGTAAAAGAAGGTGTCACTGAGATAGTGACTTTTGATTAGTTGTTACATTGTATAAAATTTATAGATGTAGGTTTAGATGAAAATACTTGGCAAGTTGCAGTGTAAGTAAACTTTACTTGGTTGTTTAGTAGGAGTCTGACTTACAGGTGTTGCTATTATTATTGTTTTTCTTTCTGAGTCCTCTTCTTTACCAGAATGTCAAAGCCTCTATCTTCTGCTGATTTACAAAATATTCCTATAGCCAAGTCAATCACTTGAATCTTCCTCCAAATATAACTGGACAAGTATGAATTTAACAGCAAGTATCTGAATGTATATGTGGTGAACTCATTTACAGGACAATCTATAGTGTGAGTCCAACTAGTTAGGGCAGCCCATATCACTTTTTTCACTGACATCACATGACAGTATTGAGACTGAATACTAAGGACCTATCTCTAGTGATTTTCATACCCATATTTCAAATTGTGATTTCCCATTGCATTTTAGTTGTGTGCTTTTAAATATATTACTTCTCATGACTAGCTTTTGTTATTCATGAGCATGAAAACATAAGTTTTCTGTGGACCTGTGTTCAAAGAGAGCACTCTCACATATACTTTATTCTAATGGCCAGAATTTGATTCAGAGTCAAGTAGACAGTAACTTTACTTGAGGCAGAAATTAGAAATTGACATGATAATATTGTCTTTGGGAACCTTCTTTATAGTCTCTCTTTTTGTAAGTCAAGCATCAATCTGATGCTCAGAATTCAAACAGCCTTTACTTATTGGAGCCCTATGTGATTCCCATTAGAAAAAAAATGTCTCCCAGATGTGGTTTTATGGGTACATTGCTATCTATATTTCTGTTTCTCCTTTAACTTTAGTACTGTTAAATGCCACTAAATTGCTTTCTAGTTACTATGCTGTTCAACCCTTGTTTTCTTGCTAAGTTGTAGCACATGATAAGAGCTGAGACAAGTCTGCACTGTGTCTCTGGTCAGTAAATGCTTATTCATGATGTCGATGATGATGATATCTATTATGATGCTAATGTCTTGACAGACAAGAAATCATTTCTCCAGTACCCGGGAAGAGATGGAAGAACTTAAGAAAAGGATGAAAGAAGCTCCGCAGACATGCAAACTTCCAGGACAGCCAACCATTGAAGGCTATCTCTATACGCAAGAGAAATGTGTGTGGCAATACAGGGATACCCCTGGGTTTCAGTAGACTGACACCTATTGCCACTTGGTCTCTCCAAACTCCAGGCACCCGTATAGTTCATAGTTCTCTGCCAGCAATACCTCTCTGGAGACCAGCATGGGAATGGGGAAAATTAAAAGGAAGAAGAAACTGGAGGGAGAGGCCAAAGATTTGTCTTACAAAAGCTCTGGGATGATAAGACCTAAGGTTTCCTCTGAGATTCAAAATGAGGATTTTTAATTGCTTAACTCTTTCAAGCATAAAATAATATTTATTCCACCTACTATATGCCAGGCCTGGTGCTAAGTGATTTAAAAATACGATCTCGTATAATCTTTGGAACCACCTTATCATACCCATTTTACACATGGAGCCACTGAAGCTTAGAGAGATCACTAGTTGAAAGTCACAGGTGAAAAAGTATGCAACAACGAATATATGTATGTTCATGTATAACTGAAAAATTCTGTTCTACACTGGAAATTGACACAATATTTTAAACTGACAATAACTCAATAAAATACAATTTAAAAAAAAGTCACTCAGCTGTCAAGTGGCAAGCCTAAGAGGAAACGCAGGTTTATGAAATGACAAAGCATATTCTCCTATAGCTATACCCTATATCTTGCCTTAAGATCACAGAGTTGCCTTTAAAGTACAAAACAACCATTGTGATTTCAGTGGGCAAGATAGTTGTTCATTTCTAACCAAGGAAACTGGGTTAATGTATCCTGAGCACTGAATATTGCAAAAGATTCAAGCTTTCCTAGCTCCTAAATAATGTTATATTTAAGCCTGTGTTTAGTATTTGATTTTCTTTTTCAACTATGACACAATGTTCCCAATGACTGTGATTTCAGTTCCTGACCAGAATTGTCCTACCTGGTGAGTAGGCTGAAAGGGCTACCCAGAGGTTACCAGTGGCAAAACCCACTGAAATCCACAAAGCATGACATTTCAGCAGCAATATTATCATGCTTTTTCTCCCTTAGAGCAATTAACTTTTGATGACTTTCAAAGAAGTTTTCTTTCATTTGTCAGATTCATCTTTTCAATTCCGCATTGCAGGATTTCTCAGTCTCAGTGCTATTGACATTTCAAGCTGGGTAATTCATTATTTTGGGGGTCATCCTGTACATTTTAGGATGTTTAGAAGTATCTATAGCCTTGCTCAACTGTATTCTAACAGCACTCCCCGGGTATGATAACCTAAATGTCTCTAGGCATTGCCAAATGTCCCCTGAGAGGCAAAATTGCCCCTAGCTAAGAACCACTGCTGTATTATAAAAGAGGCACAGAATAATGGGTATGTAATCTTGGCTTTCATATCCTCTATGCCCCAGTTTTATAATTTGTTAAATGGATCTAACATTGCTACTCAGTAAGGATCATTTCTGCCAGACAATGTGAAATACTGGGTATAAAAAAATGAATCAGCCTTGGTTTTTGCCTTCAAGAAGTTCACAGTCTGATGAAGAAGACACAATATATCAAGAATTATAATGAAATGTATTGAGCACTGCACTTGGGGCAGATATGTGAGAGCTACACTGAGGAAGTAGTATATGAAATGAAACTTGAATTGTGAGTGGGAGTTTGACAGGTAAAGAAGAGGATGAAGAAAATTTCAGGTGTCTACCCCTGCATGAGTAAAGGCACAGAGGTGTGTGAGGATGTAGTTTATTCTGAGGGTCTTGGTGTGCAAGAACAGTTATGGCTTATAACTGTTGTCCTGATGTAATTATTAATATTGCCCTATTCACTCTTAAATATTCTTGAACTTGGACTATGAATTATATTGCCACCTATTTATTTGGTAACTGAAAGTAATTCAATGAGACAGGAACATAGAGCTAAGGGCAGCAAAAGACAACATTAGAAAAGTTAATATGATCACATTATAAAAGGCTTTGTGAACCAACTTAAGGAGTTTGGAGAGAGTGGGAAAGCCATGGGTGGTTTATAATAAAAGGAATGATATAAATAGAGATATATATATTAAAATTTTTTCTCTAGCAAGAGTAGAGAATGGACTAGAAAGGAGTGATGAGAGATGGGGAAAATCAGCGAGAAGACCACTGACATAATTAATTAGAGGAATAGTGAATTTTTGTTTTGTTTGAAATATCTCATTTTAAAAAAAGTCAGCATTAGGGTCCTGAACTAATTCAGTTTGAAAACAGGTGGAAGGAAACACATGTAGGGGATAGAATGGGCGGAATTCAACCACCGATCAAATGGGGCAGGGTACAGGGAAGGAGGAGCAGAAGATTACAGAGATTTCCAACTCATACAGGGAACATGGCAAGGAGAGTGGTTTGGAGAAATCCAGAGCAGATTTGGAAAGCAGTGGATGAAGATTAGGACATCCATGTCTGTAGTGGACAGGTGACACTGCAGGGTTGGAGTTCAGGGGAAAGGTAGGGCTAAATCTGGATCATGAAGAGCATGCTGTACACCTCTTTTGTCTTAGGGGTGGAATGACCATGCAGCCAAAATATTTATTCTATCAGCTCACTGTTGCCTATCTTTGTAGGGGCTTTGGGAATATCCTGGGTGAAATACTACTGCCAGTATGAGAAAGAGACCAAAACCCTCACCATGACACCTATGGAGCAGAAGCCAGGTGCTAAGCAGGTCAGTTCTTTTGTGTGCCTCATTTTTTCAAAATGCATCTGTGACTGCATCTCAAAAAACAGTATATGTTGACTTAGTGTCAAAGAATCAAGTCCATCACTGTCATGTGAAGCATGACTTCATATGTTCTCCTTGGCCCAAGTTTGCATTGGGCCAGATACTACTCAGTTGAAAAATCTCTATGAATTATGTTGGGCCTTTGGAAAATGCCCGTACTCTTGCAGAACATTTATTACATTATTACAAGTGCCCATCATATTGTACAAAGAAAATCTGTAAAAATATGGATAAATTGGAAGAGGAGAGTTTATTACTTGCTTTTAAGAAGTTTCTGCCATAGGATGCCTTTAAATAGCAAGTGTTTAAAGTACAGATCATTTTCCAAAATTCCTTTTTTAAAGGAGTATGTCTGTTGCCTGAAGTTGGAATAACTTATACCCTGCATTGTATGTAATACTCGAATATCTTTAAGTACTTAATGCTGCTTCTTCTGCACTCTAAACTTGTCTATTCCCAAAAGTGGCAAGATGAGTTTAACACACTGAGAAGATAATTTACTTATCTGGAAGAACTTGATTATATATATATATATACACACACACACACACACATACATACATACATACACACACATACGTATACATATATATTTATATAAATATATATATATAATCTTATATATAATATATATTATTATGTTACATATTATTTTACGTATTTGACCACCCAGCTAAAAAATTTATTCTTTCATCTCACTTTTGCCTACCTTTGTAGAGGCTTTGGGAACATACACACATGCACACACACCCCTGAAGATTTCTGAAGATAAGAACTGATAGACTTAACTATTCATATTCTAAAAGTAGTTCAGTGTGTCCCTTTAACTATCTCTCAGACAGGGTCTTAGGGTGTAATTTTTATGGATTTCTATTATTTACAAATTGTTTACAAAGCAAAACATAGTTTACTTGTTACCATTGAAAGCTGTGATGCATGAAGACCCAATTTTGGTAGGCAGAAATTTGGAAATCTTCTGGGCCGACTTTTTTCTCCATTGCTGGTGCTTTCCACAGTAGGTCTCTCTTGTGTAGACTGTTCATAGGAAAGTACAGAGGATTGAGATTTGGTGGCTGGCTTTTGAAAAACCACTATTCTTTTTTGTCTTTAACTACAAGTTTTGCTACTCTAGTTTGAATGTGGATTGGAGACGAGATGTACCTCTAAAGTTAACTACCAAATGGGGTTTCCAGAACCCTCATCCATGATTCTAATGTGGGCCAGTTACTCATCCATGACTCCAAAACTCTCCTTAGTTTCCAGTCTGTCAGTTGCCAAAAAACCTTTCAATATGGTTCCAATAAATCACTCAATGCTGCAGCACAGAATTTGTTCCAGTTCTGTCAGAAGTCAGCTTATGTGTCTGACTGACAACTGCTTTTAAGCAACACTGTCCTGCAGTCCCTTGCTTTGCTATTTGTCCACACATTACTTCCCAAATCCTAGACTTCAAAGTTCCATTCTTGGACAGTAGGCTCACAGGTGCCTACTGCAAAGCTGAAGCCAGAGATAGCAGATACCACTTTCATAGCTTCCAAGCAGATGAGAGCAAGCCCTTCCTTTAGTTTCTCTGTCCCTTTTAGATTTTCATTGAGTGGCTGCTTGCAAAAAGGCAATAATGTCAACCTAAGCAATTATAACATGGGACTCTTCATGGAACAGAAAGAGGAACTTAGTTCTCTGTTTAGAAAAAGGAAAAAAGGAGGATGTGGTGGAAGTAGTTATTTGAATTTCCCTAAATTGAGTTGGAAATGGTTTCCTTTTATCAGTTGTCTGACTCAGTTCCTTTTACTACTTTGTGTTTTAGAAAGGTGTATAATACAAATAAATGAGACTATAATAATGATAACAACATCAAATCTACAATTTATTGAATGTCTGCTATATGCCAGGCACTGAACTAGACATCTTCTGTCATGTGCCTCATTTATACTCTCAGCAGCAATGTGAGGTATCATTAGCCCAGTTTGAAGATGGAAGAATTAATCATGTTTTTGACTGTGATACTTACCAGTGTTCCCTACCAATTCAGCCTGTTAACTTCCATTTGGGTTGTGCTGCTCACTTTACAGAGCACATTCCCAAATACTATTTTATAAGTTTCTCATCTCTTCCCTGTCATACAGTTGTGGTAAGAGGAGAGAGAGCTACATTTTGAATCTCAATAACTGGTTTGTTTGTTTGGTTATTCATTCATTCATTCTTCACATCAAGTGTTTTTCCTTCCACTTATACTGAAATGTAAGTGACATATGGCACTGTATAAGTTTAAAGTGTACAGCATAATGATTTGACTGACATACATCATGAAAGGATTACCACAATAAGTTCAATGAACAACCATCATCTCATATAGATACAAAATAAAAGAAAAAAATGTTTTCCTTGTAATGAGAATTCAGGATTTACTCCCTTAATAATTTGGGTATATAACATACAGAAGTGTTAATTTTATTAATCAAGTTGTAAGTAATATTCCTAGTACTTATTTATTTTATAATGGGTAGTTTGTATCTTTTGATGCCTTTGTCCAATTCCCCATCCCCTTCCCCACTTCCCACCTCTGGTAACCACAAATCTGATCTCTTTTTCTTTGAGTTTTTGTTTGTTTGTTTTCAAGTATAATTGACCTAGAACACTATGGTAATTCCTGGTGAACAACATAGTGATTCAATATTTCTATACATTATGAAAGGATCACTATGATAAGTCTACTTATGATCTGTCACCGTATAAAGATATTTCATAATTATTGATTATATTTGCCACACTATCCATTTCATAACTGTGACATTTGTTTTGTAGCTAGAAGTGTATATACCTCTTAATCTTCCTCACCTATTTCTCAATTTCCCCCCCACCCTCTTCCCCTCTAGCAACCACCAGTTTGTTCTCTGTACCTATGACTCTATTTCTGTTTCATTATATTGGTTTATTTGTTTTGGTTTTTTTAGATTTAAAATATAAGTGAAATCATATGGTATTTGTCTTTCTCTGTCTGACTTGTTTCACTTAGCATAATACCCTCTAAGTCCATCCATATTGTCACAAATGGCAAGATTTCATTCTTATGTATGGCTAATATTTCATTATATTTAATACTGCATCTTTTTTCTATTTATCTATTGATGGTCACATAGGTTGCTTCCATATATTGGCTATTGTAATTAATACTGCTATGGACATACGGGTGCATATGTCCTTTCTAGTTAGTGTTTTTATTTTCTTCCAACAAATACCCAGGAGTGGAATTGCTGGATCATGTGGAAGATCTATTTTTAAATTTTTGAGGAATCTCCATACAGATATCCAGAGTTGCTGCACCAACTTACATTCCCACCAACAGTGCACAAGGGTTCCCTTCTGTCTACATCCTTGCCAACATTTCTTATTAATTGATTTTTTTTATGATAGCCATTCTGACAGGTGTGAGGTGATATCTCATTATAGTTTTGATTTGTGTTTCCCCAATGACTAGTGATGTTGAACATTCTTTAATGTTCCTATTGGCCATTTATTTGTCTTCTTTTGAAAAGTTGAGACCCTCTGTCTATTCTTTATTTGGGTTTTTTGTATTTTTGATGTTGAGTTTTATGAGTTCTATGTATATTTTAGATATTAACTCCTTATCAGATACATTATTTGCAGATATCCTCTTCCATTTAGTAGGTTGTCTTTCCATTTTGTTATAGTTTCCTTCACTGTGCAAAAGTATTTTAGTTTGATGCAGCTCCATTTGTTTATTTTTGCTATTGTTGCCCTTGCCTGAAAAGATAGATCCAAAAAATATTGCTAAGCCTGATGTCATAAAGAGGACTGCCTATGTTTTCTTCTAGTAGTTTTATACTTTCAAATCCTGCACTTAATTCATTAAACCATTTTAAGTTTATTTTTGTATGTAATTTGAGAAAGTAGTCCAGTTTGATTCTTTTGCATGCAGCTTTCCATTTTCCTAACACCATTTATTGAAGAGGCTGTCTTTTCCCATTGTATATTCTTGCTTCCTTTGTCATAGATTAGTGGACCATATAATTATAAGTTCATTACTGGGCTTTCTATTCTGTTCCATTGTTTTATGTGTCTGTTTTTGTGTCAGTACAATATTGTTTTGATTACTGTATCTTTGTAATATAATTTGAAATCAGAGAGCATGATATCTTTAGCTTTGTTCTTCTTTCTCAAGATCATTTTGGCTATTCGGGATCTTTGCATTTTCCATACAAATTTTAGCATTTCTTATTCTTTTTCTGTGAAAAATGCCATTGCTATTTTGATAGTGATTATGTTGAATCTGTAAATTGCCTTGGGTAGTATGGTCATTTTAATAGTGTTAGTTCTTCCCATCCATAAGCATGGACTATCTTTCCATTTGTTTGTGCCATCTTCAGTTTCTTTCATTATTGTCTTATAGTTTTGTAAGTACAGGTCTTTTACCTCCTTAGATTTATTCCCAGGTATTTTATTCTTTTTGATGAGAGTGTAAATGGGATTGTTTTTAAAATCTGTTTCTGATAATTTGTTGTTAGTATGTAGAAATGCCAGGTTTCTGTATATTAATTTTGTATCCTGCAATTTTACTGAATTCATTAGCGAGTGATAGCTTTTTGCTGATGTCTTTATGATTTTCTAATTATAGTATCATGTCATCTATGAACAGTGACAGTTTTACTTTTTCCTTTCCAATTTGGATTCATTTTATTTCTTTTTTCTTGGCTGATTGCTGTGGCTAGGATTTCCAATACTATGTTGATCAAAAGTGACAAGAGTGTCTTGTCTTGTTCCTGATCTGAGAGGAAGTGCTTTCATTTCTTCACCACTGACTATGATGCTATATGTGGGCTCATTATATTTGGTATTTATTGTGTTGAGGTATGCTCCTTGTATATCAAATTTGTGAAGAGTCTTTTTAAACCATAAATGGATGTTGAACTTTGTCAAAAACT